TTAGCCAGGAGTGGTGGCATGAGCCTCTAGTCCCAGCGACTCAGGAAGCTGAGGTAAGAGAATCATTTGAACCTGGGAAGCAGAGGTTATAGTGAGCCCAGATTGCACCATTACACTCAGCTTGGGCAAGAGCGGGAAAAAAAAATTTTATGTGGAGAAGAGGTCTCCCTATATTGTCCAGGCTGGTCTTAAACCCCTGGCCTCAAGTGATCCTCCTGACTCGGCCTCCCAAAGTGCTGGGATTACAGGTGTGAACCACTGTGCTGGGCCTATAAACTACCTTTTGTGTTAGACTCTAACCACAGCAGAATTCTGCCAGGTTTCTTTTTCTTTCTTTCTTTCTTTATTTTTTAAGATTGGGTTTCACCATGATGGCCAGGCTGGTCTTGAACTCCTGACCTCAGGTGATCCACCCACCTTGGCCTCCCAAAGTGCTAGGATTACAGGCGTGAGCCACTTCGCCCAGCCCAGGTTTCTTTTTCAAATCCATTCAATAAATTATAGACATTCAATAAAAACAAAACACTGGCTGTTAGCAATACAGCTCTATGTCCTGAAGAAATATGCATTGTTAAATTGCTGAGCTGGGCCAGGTATGGTGGCTTATGCCTGTAATCCCAGCACTTTGGGAGGCTGAGGTGGGCGAATCACCTGAAGTCAAGACCAGCCTGGCCAACATGGTGAAACCCTGTCTCTCCTAAAAATACAAAAATTAGCTGGGCGTGGTGGCGCACACCTGCAATCCTAGCTACTCAGAAGACTGAGGCGGGAGGATTGCCTGAACCCGGGAGGCGGAGAATGCAGTGAGCTAAGATCACGCCACCGCACTCCAGCCTGGTGACAAAGCGAGACTGTGACTCCAAGAAAAATAAATAAATTGCTGAGCTGGGAGCATTTTACCTTAGAGTACAGCACTGCAGCTACTGTGTAATCTTTCTCCTGAAATTTTTTGTTTCCTTCTTCTCTGTAGAAAAGGGGAGCGCCAGAGTCCTTTCCCACGAAGTAACCTTTAGAAAGTCTTTTTAGAAATATCTCATCCTCAGGTCTGCATGAAGAAAGAAAACAAAATAAGCAGAAATTTGTTATTTCAAGGAAAGCTCCAAACCATTGCCCTTGGAACAAGAAAGTGGGCCAGTGAAAAACTGAAATTGAACCAATTTCAATTTCACAGACATGAGGATATACATACTGTGTAATGCGATTAGAGGAAAGAGAGACATAGGGACCAGAATTTTTTTTATTTTTTTCTGAGACAGGGTCTCAATCTGTCGCCCACAGGCTGGAGTGCAGTGGTGCCATCTGAGCTCACTGCAGTCTTGACTTCCCAAGCTCAGATGATTCTCCCAGATGACTCACTAATTGGGAGGATGCATGACAGTAGGCCTAACTAATTTTTGTACTTTTTGTAGAGGTGGGGTTTTGCCACGTTGCTCAGGCTGGTCTTGAACTCCTGTGCTCAAATGATTGGCAGAATTTTTTTTTTTTTTTTTTGAGATGGAGTCTCGCTGTGTCACCCAGGCTGGAGTGCAGCGTTGTGATCTCGGCTCACTGTGACCTCCGGCTCCCCAGTTCAAGTGATTTTCCTGCCTAAGCCTCCTGAGAAGTTGGGATTACAGGCATCCATCACCGTACCCAGCTAAATTTTTGTATTTTTAGTAGAGAAAGGGTTTCGCCACGTTGGCCAGGCTGGTCTCAAACTCCTGACCTCAAATGGTCCCACCTGCCTCAGCCTCCCAAAGAGCTGGGAATACAGGTGTGAGCCACTGCGCCTGGCCAGAATTTCTATTTAGAGGACTTAATGCTAATTTATTATTCTTTATCTCATAATTATTGGACAATGAACTATCCCTAAGATCATACATCATAAAAATCTTTGTTGTTTTTTTGAGACAGAGTTTCACTCTGTGACCCAGGCTGGAGTGCAGTGGCGTGATCTCAGCTCACTGTAACCTCTGCCTCCCTGGTGCAAGTGATTCTCCTGCCTCAGCCTCCCGAGTAGCTGGGATTACAGACATGCACCACCACAACCTGGCTAATTTTTGTACTTTCAGTATAGATGAGGTTTCACCATTTTGGCCAGGCTGGCCTTGAACTCCTGACCTCAAGTGATCTACCTGCCTGGGCCTCCCAAAGTGCTGGGATTACAGGCATAAGCTACTGCACCCAGCCAGGATCTTGAGTCTGGAGAATGAGGTTAATATACGGTGTCTTTTGAACCAAGGAGTATTCTCCACTTCAATTGCTGAAAATACTTGAGTGGCTGACAGAACAGAAGAGAGATAATGAGAATGAATCATAAGGTAAATGTAGTAAAATGTTAACACTTGCAGTTTGGAAGAATTCAAAATTCAGCAGTTCTTTGTACTTTTTTTTATGGGGGGGGGAAACAGAGTCTCCCCAGGTTGGAATGCAGTGGCACAATCTCGGCTCACTGCAAACTCTGCCTCCTGGGTTCAAGCGATTCTTGTGCCTCAACCTCCCAAGTAGCTAGGATTACAGGTGTGAGTCAACACGTCTGGCTAATTTTTTGTATTTTAATAGAGATGGGGTCTCACTGTGTTGCCCAGGCTGGTCTCAAACTCCTGAGCTCAGGCAATCTGCCCACCTCACCCTCCCAAAGTGCTAGGATCACAGGTGTGAGCCACTGTGCCCAGCCTCTTCGTACTACTTTTCCAAGTCTGAAATTATTTCAAACTGAAAAGTTTAAAAATATAAATGTTCTACATAATAAAATGAAATTGACCTCATATATAGAGACATACACACATACTGGCAAAAGAGAATGTACCTTTTTCCCAATATAAATAAATAATACAGAATAACCTATTCTCTGACTATATGCGTAAAGCAAAATCTGAATAACAAAAGTAGAAACAAATGACACGGAAGCTAAAAATTCTCTTAAGCAACTCTTGAATCAAAGAAGAAATCACAGCAATGCAGAATGGCCAGGTGCAGTGGCTCACACCTAGAATCCGGGCACTTTCGGAGGCTGAAGAGGGAGGACTGCCTGAGCTCAGGAGCTTCACACTAGCCTGGGCAACATGATAAGACCCTGCCTCTACAAAAAATACAAAAATTAGCTGGGTGTGGTGGCATATGCCTGTAGTCCCAGCTACTTGGGAGGCTGAGTTGGGAGGATCGCTTGAGCCCAGGAGGTTGAGGCTGCAGTGAGCCATGATGGCACCACTGTATTCAAGCCTGGGCGACAGAGCGAGACCCTGTCTCAAAAAAACAAGAAAAAAACAAAACAAAACAAGAACGAAGAGCCCTGGAGAATGTTTATAAATATTTTTTAAATTTTTGTTTACAAAGAATCACAATAAGAAATACCTTTTACATTGTGACTATGATGCTTTTGTGTTTGAATATATTAAAATTTTATAAAACATTATTTATCTTTGCTACAAGGTAAAACAAAGTTAGTATCAAACATGATTTTATTAATATTTAAATACAACATAGAAAAATCACAAATAGGGCAGGGCGCTATGGCTCATACCTATAATCCCAGCCCTTTGGGAGGCCGAGGTGGGCAGATCACCTGGCCCAGGAGATCAAGACCAGCCTGGGCAACATAGTGGAACCCATCTCTACAAAAAATACAAAAATCATCTGGGCGTGGTAGCAGACACTTGTAGTCTCAGCTACTTGGGAGGCTGAGGCATAAGAATTGCTTGTGGGCCAGGCGCGGTGGCTCAAGCCTGTAATCCCAGCACTTTGGGAGGCCGAGGGCAGGTGGATCACGAGGTCAAGAGATCGAGACCATCCTGGTCAACATGGTGAAACCCCGTCTCTACTAAAAATACAAAAAATTAGCTGGGCATGGTGGCGCGTGCCTGTAATCCCAGTGACTCAGGAGGCTGAGGCAGGAGAATTGCCTGAACCCGGGAGGCGGAGGTTGCGGTGAGCCGAGATCGCGCCATTGCACTCCAGCCTGGGTAAACTCCGTCTCAAAAAAAAAAAAAAAAAAGAATTGCTTGTGCCTGGAAGGCAGAGGTTGCAGTGAGCCGAGATCGCGCCACCACACTCCAGCCTGGGTCAAATAATACAAGAGAAAAATTAGGAGATTTTATTTAATTCAAGAGGTGTGCTTACCTGTTCTACACTTACTCCAGTCCAGAAAATCTGAAGGCAATCCCCTATGCCTATCTGGTACACCATAGAGCTTGCTCTTTTTTCTATTTTTGTTTTAAACTACGTTAAATCTAAAAATCCCAGTTCAAGCAAAAGGTTTGTGGTAAACAGTAATAACAGCAAAATTCTTCTTGCCTAACAATAGATGCGCATTAACTCTCACCCAAAATGATGATGAACTCAGTGTTTTTTAGTTGCACTTCAGTGTAATTAGGAGCTAAGCTGCAACAATTCATTCTTTTCTCCAGGTACCAGGTTAACTCAGTAACTGACTTACGACTTTTCAAAAGCAAATGGATGTCTGCTTTTCTTTTTTGTTGAGACAGGGTCTCACTCTGTCACCTAGGCTGGAATACAGTGGCTCCATCACAGTTCAGTGAATCCTTAACCTTCTAGGCTCAAGCGATCCTCCTGCCTCAGCCTCATCAGTAGTGATGACCACAGGTATGCACCACCATGTCTGCCTTTTTGAATTTTTTTTTTTTAAGCAATGGGGTTGCTTTGTTACCCAGGCTGGCCTTGAACTCCTGGGCTCAGGTGATCCTCCTAAGGGGCTGGGATTACAGGTGAGTCACAGTGCCCAGCCTACTGTCTTGATTTTTCAGTAGAGATGAAGTCTCAGTATGTTGCCCAGGGTGGTCTCAAACTCCTGAGCTCAAGTGATCCTCCTGCCTTGGCTTCCCAAAGTGTTAGGATTTCAGGGGTGTTTCACTGCATCCAGCTGATTCTTTTTTCTTTAATTTCTTCTGGAATATTGTGATACAAAATTGAGGCTGGGTGGGGAAGATGGCTTGATCCCAGGAGGCCAGGGCTGCAGTGAGCTATGACAGTGCAACAGCACTCCTGCGTGGGCAGCACAGCAAGACCCTGCCTCAAAAACAATAATAATAATTCGGTGGTAAGACGGAACAAGCAATCTTTCTAATTTTTTCTTTTTTGAGATGGAATCCCGCTCTGCCACCAGGCTGGAGCACAGTGGTACAATCTTGGCTCACTGCAACCTCCAACTCCCTGGTTCAAGCTATTCTCCTGCCTCAGCCTCCCAAGTAGCTGGGACTACAAGGATGCGCCACCACACCCAGCTAATTTTTGTATTCTTAGTAGAGATGGGGTTTCACCATGTTGGCCAGGATGGTGTTGATCTCCTGACCTCATGATCCAGCCATCTTGGTCTCCCAAAGTGCTGGGATTACAGGCGTGAGCCACCATGCCTGGCCCTATTTTTTTTTCCCTCACAGTTCTGCTAGAGAGCCTAATTTTTAAAATTGTAGTACAATATGCATAATATAAAATGTATTTAAACCATTTTCTCCACTCCCACACCCAATCTATTTAAACCAATTTTTAAGTGTACAGCTCAGGAGCATTAAGTGCATTCATATTGCACAACCTTCACCACTGTTCATTTCCAGAACTTTTTCATCATCCCAAGCTGAAACTCCACCCTTCAAATAACTCCTCATTCCTCCCTCTCCACATTCCCTGGTAACCTGTATTCTGCTTTCTGCCTCTGTGAATTTACTTATTCTAGGTACTTCATGTAAGCGTAATCATACGTTATTTTTCCTTTTGTGTCTAACTTATTTCACTTAGCAAAAAGTTTTCAAGGTACATTATGTTGTAGTATAAACCAGAATTTCACTCCTTTAAAAAAATTTTTTTTTCTTTTTCAGTGATAAAGCTTATAAAAAAATTTTTTAAAGAGATGGAGTCTCCCTCTGTTGCCCAGGCTAGAGGGCAGTAGCTAATCTGCACTCTAGCACGGGCAACAGGCACAATCTAGCTACAGGTACAATCACTGCACACTATGGCCTTTTTGTAGACATAGGGTCTCAATACGATGCCCAGGCTGGTCTTGAACTCCTGGCCTCAAGAGATCCTCCTCTGCCTTGGCCTCCTAAAGTGCTA